GGGGGGTTCGCTAGAAAAGGGGGGTTCGCCCGAACCATAAAAACCCCCCCTGGCTACGGGCCTGATCAACATATCGTTGGTAAAATGTTGGCATTTTATCAGCTGATTGTAGGGTGTCTTCGAGGTTGCTTATGAACATGTTGGCCATTAGTGGTCCAAGTGGAGAACCCATGGCTACACCATCAACTTGCTCATATAGATCACCACCATATTGAAAAAGTTGGTTTTTCGTGGCAACCGTGAGTAGATCGACAAGACCTTGTCTGTCAATTGATAGACCATACTGGACGTTAAACCAATCATGTTCAAAGGCTTTGTCGGCAGGGATTTGAATGGTCTCATCAAGTGGAACATTAGTAAATAATGAGATGACGTCATAAGAAACTAGCAGGTCATTGGTACCAATAGTATGACGTCTCATTATTTACTAATGTTCCACTTGATGAGACCATTCGTGTATTTCCATCAGGTGAGGTCCAAGTATGTAAACTTTTCTTTTTAAACATAGTATTTGTTACAACTTTAAGATGATTTCTGATGCTGAAGTTTGCAAGCAGTTCTCCACGTGAATCTACATTGCCAATAGTATGTTTGCCTAGAGGAATATGTGTTATGCAAGTTTCTGTTTGCTGTTAAAGTCACCCATTATGAAAAGGTGATCTATGAGGGGAATATCATCAAATATCGCTTGAATGCTGTCGTAAAGTTCGAGAACATCATCCTCTGAGCGTAGAAGTATGAAAGTAGCATTGTATGAAGAAAAGTTTTGAGAATTTCACTTTTAGGCTTAGAACTGCCAGTCTATCTGAGATTGATTTGATTCATAACTGTGGATAAGTGGTAAGCATGATTTATTAACAAGAAGACCAACACCATTTGATCTAGAAGTTTCATTGCTTGAAAAGAAGAGTTTATGGCCAGTATTCTGATGTATCTCAATTTTTTATTCTTTCACCTTTGTTTCAGATAAACCAATAATATCCCAATTCACTTCCTTGAATTCACGGAGTTTTCTAGGGCATGCGAGTTGAGATCATTTATTGTTCTTGTGTTGTATCCTTTTGTTTTATTTTTCCTCTAATCGCACATCGTAGTCCAGTCCGAGGCTGCTGGAGTGAACCCCTGATCTCATCTGTCACATCAGTCTATCCGGGGTTGCTGATGTGCGCTCCTGGTCGCCTCTCGAGGGTCCAGAGGTGGCCCCTCTAATATCTGAATATATTTTATTGGACATATTTCATGTTAGTTTCATCAGCCATACTCTTCCGTGCTGGCTTAGGGCAAATTGGAAGAGGGTGTTTTATTTGTGACAGCATAACTAAGTGAATTGCCGAACAGGGCTCAGAGAGGCTCCACCCGCCCTCAGCCAGGAACTGCTGCCGTGTTGACATACAGACCTGCCATTTGCCGGAAATGCAGTCAATTTGACATGCAGAACCGCCGTTACACAGGTAAGGGAGGTTCAGGGTGTGCTAACACTTGCCCAAGGTGTACACCCATGCTAGTGGAGGGAAGGAGGCGCCATAATTCTCCATTCTAGACCGGCCAAGGCAGAAAATTAACCACTGCCCAGATCTAGCCACTGCCTGGATTGTTTAAATCCAGGTATGCACATTGTTATGTAACTATGCATTGATATTGTAATGTTTCGTGAAGTAATGCTGTACTGTACATGAGTTACAAATGTATGATGCAATAATGATGTATGTATTGAGACTGTAATTCTGCTGTTTTAGAGGGGTTTTTTTTGTTGTGTCGATGTGTGCACATCGACATACGATTAGTGATCGTGAATCTCTTAGACATTGACGATTAAAATAACCTGGAACGTTCATGGTGGTTGTTGTCTTGTTTGTTGTCAACCTAAACTACCACAATAAAACACAATTTGTGAAAACAGGGTTGCCATTCCCTGGACATAAATAAACTATTGGATATATAAATGGAAAATAAAAAGGCAAATCAACACTAGGAAATACTTTATAAAGTTTAAAAGGAATAAAATGAAACCTATAGTAGTAAGGTAATACTGACACATAATGAGTGCTGAAGGCACGAACAGTGGCTGGGGAGGGGCATATTTAATCAATATTAGTGAGCTTAAAATGATCTCAGATACAGTAGTTATAGAATGTTATGATGATGGATGTTAGTCAAAGAAAATGTTATTACTAATTGAAAAAGAAAAAAAATTTACTCTAATTTTAGGACAAGCACAAGTTTTGCCGGTGTTTGAGTAAGACTAAGATTTGACATAAGACTTATGGCGAATGCGTACAGGTTGACATGTCTGCTACTATAATACCTGGATTGCTCATTGCCTGGTTTTAGTGAGGCCACCGATGCCATGTGGGGGTTGGGGGGCTATTGATGTACCAGTTTCTTTTGCCATTTGTTTAAATGCTTACAAATAAAAACCATCATTTTACAGCAAAAAAATGATAGAAACACTTCCAGTCACTAAAAGTGTTTTATTATATTAATTATAATTATCCAGTTAAAAAAATCAGGGAACACATTTTTTAAATTTAATAATTTCTATGCTCAAGTTAATAATTTGTATGTTACTGCAGAATAAGCAAGTTAATTTAAAAATTATTTTTTATGATTTTGGTCATTTTCAAGGGACAGTGGATCTTTAAGCAGTTCGAACCGACTCTAATTACAACGTGACCCAGCCCTGGTGTGAACTGCGGTCTTTAGCACAAAAAAACAGGAAGAATACCTCTTCACTTTTAAACAACCTTGATTTCTAAATATTACTGTGCTTTGGCAACAATTTGCCATCATTATTATCAACAAAAATTTCTTAGCTATTATCAGTCTAAAATTCTTCAGCCAGCATTAAAGATAATATCCAAAAAATCAGAGTAGATAATATCTGCCTATGATAATTCTTCAAATATTCAGGAACCAGTCTGCATTCGGACCGCATACGTCCCTCTGTCACACGGATTCAATTTCCCAATCGGAACATTAGGCTTTTTCTAATCAAAAGAATTTGGATTCAGTGTGAATGCACATTACAGCAAAGATACTAGAAATACAAGACAGAGCACTCGCATAGCAAAAATGAGGCGGAAATTCGTCTAGACGTACGCGGCGTCCTTCTCTTTTTATAATGCAAGTTTTCTATACTTGGTCCAGACGTATAGGGCACCCTTCTGTTGCTAAGTGTATCCAGACGCACACGGCGCCTTTCTTTTTCCACTAAAGGAGGAAAACTTTATCACTATTTAGAGTCCGGTCATACGATTTTGCGCTATTGTGTCTGTCATTTTATTGTTTTAATTTATTTATGCCTACTAGTTTGTATCTTATAGATAATGGCAATGATTATGTATTCACAGTTATGTAACAGTGGCAGAAGTTTTTTAGATTCAGGTGCCCCATTGTTTGTATTCCTACCATGCATTTCAGTGGAACATTTTTTTTTCTGTGGAGAACTCTATCTTGTGTTTCTAGTATTTTTGCTTACAGTAATGACAAATTATCACACCATTTTACGGTCTGTGAACACCTAAAAATTATAGTATATTAATATTTTTCAAAAAAAGTATAAAACAGAGAGAGCAGCTTAGCTCAGAGAGAGCAGCTTAGCTTTGAGAGAGCAGCTTAGCTCAGTCGGCTAATCTGGTGGTAGCCGCTGTGTGTGTGCTGAACCGTGGAGATCTCTAGGTCCCCGCTTCAATTCCTATCGCTGCCTCTCCTTGTGTTTCAGCTAGAGGGCTGAAATACAAGTTACAATAGCGCACCATCTTTCGGATGAGACGTTTAAGCGGGTCCCGTATGCATTATGGCCCATGTGTACGTTAAAGAACGCAGTACACTCTTCGGAAAAGAGTAGGGGATTGTCTCCCGGTGTACTGCCCAATCACCACCAGAAGGACCCCACTGGAAATAAGTCTTCTTCTAGACTTTCGTGGGCTATCCTTGGTGTTTACACCGAATAAATCCAATCCATCTCATTTTCTTTATTATTAATGCCAGATTTTTATTTCTTTTTAGGTTTTTTGCTTTCAGTTGATTTTTCAACTCGATATTTATTGCTCTTCTTCAGTCCATGTTCTTGGAATTGCACTCTTGGATGTAGACTAACAGCTTGACCAATTTCCACATTTCCAGTATAATGAGAACCAAAAAGATCAGAGTCTTTCAAAAATATAGTGTCACGATACATCACTGGCATAAATCCTGAAAAAAAAAAGATTTAAATGAACATATTGGTCATCCTTTCTATGATATATCCAATGATTTATTTACCTTGTCACATGAAAAGTGTGGACGGTCGACATCAGTGTGGGACCATTTAAAATTATGCATGCCTATTTAATTTATGAATGAGTAAATGTAAAAGTATGTCAATAGATTCGAGGTGGTAAAATAAATTAGCAGAGGAAGGAATTTCCTGTGGTATGAGACAAATATGGTTAATCAATTGTATTTTATTATTAGGTGACTAAATTATTAAATTTAGGAGAGGAGCTTAATGCTAGTATAACACTGTGTCTTGGAAATATAAAGGGGCACTGTAGACTAGTATTGTGAAGAATAAATTGTGGATTTCTGAGAAGTATGTGGAGACAAACTTGTTATACTGTACATATAGATTATGAATATTCATTTTTGTGTTCATTAGTTTCGTGGCGGCTTTAGGATATTTTTTGGCGGCGCTAAGCTGTCTGACTGGAGGTGCTGGGTCGGAATTTTTTTTTAATTAGGGACCTCTGAATTGCCGGAAATGGCACACTCAAACTTGAAAAATACTTTTAAATGTGAAGTTAATAAAATAAATTGTTACTATACTCTCAAACTCTACTCCATAAACATGCATTTCATTACTTAATTTCAACTTTAACACTATTTTAATGGATCCATAAAAACATTTAGATGTTGAATAAAACTTTTTTTACAAGGCTGTTTTATGGTTAAGTTGCAGCTTTTTTGTTTTGTTATTGATAATACTTGATAAAATAAAATTTAAAAAAACACAATTGAATTAATAAAAAATAATTATGTAATCTTCCAGGGTCTTGCAAGTTACGACCAGACGACACTCATGAAGATGGAGAGGCCTGGCTGCCTGTCGTGATTGTCACGCGCCGTTGGGTGGAACGCAACTACAGTAAGAACAACAAAGACGTGCAATACAAAATCGGACCGAGCAGCTCCGGCAATACAACGCAGAAGCACATGGTCGATTCACTTTTCTACATTTTTGCTTGACTGATCAGACACACACAAAGTGAATTTGCTGTGACAGACATGTGTTGGCTTGGCATAAGCCTTGTTTTCCTAGCTTGGAAGCTCCTAGCTAGTGTAACCTAAAATGATGATGGTACCAAGCGTTCTGTATACAATGTTTGCAGTAGGCCTAGATATCTATCGTATGGTAGGCCTAGTTCATAGGATATTTTTCTGTTCTCTATTGCTGTGGCACTACAAACGCATGCACACTGAGAATAACTTGGGACATCTTTGCTTTGAAGGAAAAACAGGCCTCAATAAGGTCTGTCTTTTCACCAAGACATCACAGAGGACCCTTGTTTTATGTTTGCCTTCACACTACAAAACCTGGTTATAAATTCAGTTGTTACTATTTGCAAAATAGTGACAGCTTAATGTGAACTATACCTGTGCCAGGGCTGTAGCTTATATTGTTAGTTAATATATATACATATATATGAGCAATTTCACAGTAAATAGACATGCTCCAAGCAATATTTTTTAGGAAGCTATAACTAAAGATTTTATTGTTTAAAATTAAATATTTTTACATTTATATTATCATATCAATGAGTATACATACTAAAAATCATTTCATGATCACACAATTC